GCCACGGCCTGGCCACCGTCACCATCAATGACAATCCAAAGGTACGTAGGATTCGACCTTATGCTACCTCCGACTCCGATTCGATCTGCTGTCTTGCTAGCTATGTTGATTGATGATTGCATGTTTCTTGTGTGAGATGAGATGCAGGCCGGAGAGGTCGTCAGGATGGGCCCTTGCGGCGGCGGCGGCGGCAACGACAGAAAGATAGGCATGGTGGGCGAGGTGACACGCATTGTCCAGGTCGCCGTCCGCCACTGCCGCGCCGTTGACGCCGTTGGCGTAACGTACATGCGGAAAGACCGGGAGGAGTCGAACGAGACCGAGCTCTGGGGAGGGAAAGGCGGCATGACCACGGTGGTAATTACTCCTAACTAACAACGGGTCCACGGCCATGCATGAGTTGTCTATAATCATTAGTCTCCGTGTGTTGTGGATGAGTTGACAAGCTGTGTTCTCCTCTTTGTTTCGCGTGTGCAGTTCCGTCTGCAGCGGGACGAATACCTCACGAGCGTGGAAGGCCACTACAGCCACTTCAATGGCAACGTCGTCATCAGGTTGCTCAAGTTCGTCAGCAACCTTCGCACCCACGGGCCGTACGGGAACGCGTGCGGCGTGCGGTTCTCGCTCCCAGCGGGCGCCGGCGGCAGGATCGTCGGCTTCCATGCGCCGTGTGACGACCAGTACCTCCACGCCATTGGCACCTACGTCAAGATGGACGACCGTGCATCGTGATCGACCGCAAATTCGTTTGTATCGTGTAGCGACTGTTTTTGCTTTCATTCATCTAGCTATTTCATTTCGCTTGCTGCTTCTCAAGTCTCGACTCCGTCGATGATCGATGCTCTAGCCCCAGGACTGTTTAGCTAGGAGGAAAAATGTTAGGTTTAATCTTGATTCATGTATCTGCATATTTGTTTTGTCTTGCATATAGCTAGGTTTAGTACTTGCTGGCAAGTCGTACGTGCGTATCAAGATGGCAAAGTCTCGATAAAAAAGCGCAATAAAGCGAGTATGGTGCGTAGGCGTGATGCTATGATGCCGTGTGATACGGCAGCGTCGTGTGAAGTGACGCGTGCGTGCGCGACGAGACCGGCTGGGTGGATCACTTGGAGCTGAGACACATGGCCAATTTGTTAATTTGTGTTGGTATGCATGCATGCATGCACAATGTTTGTTAGCAGGTTTTCGGAGGAGTGAAGTCTATTTTAAACCTTGAGCTTGTAGATCTTGTCACAAATGAATCCTCATCTTTAAATTCCTGAAGTTTGTACCCTGTACTAATCAATCTCGGTCTATCTCCACCCTAGACCTGTTTAGCGCATAGGGAAAAAGACGATCCCGATGGGAGCACATACTACTCTCACTGACTGGTCGGGCCTGCATGTCATATTTATCCTCACCTTCATGTCATTCTTTCTCTCTCGAGCTATCGTGCGCTAGCACAAACACATGACCAACAGCGAATATGGCGATTGCTAACCATATGCGCGCGCAACGCGTATCGCGACCGTCACTTCCTTATGTGGATCCGAGCGGCCTGGCCCACCTGGTCTCCGGAAGAAATCCCTTGTACGATCGAATATAGTCACATCACCCCTGCGGCTACCTATATCTTTCCCCCGTCCTTATCCCTACCCGTGCCCTCCGTCCCTGGTCAATCTGTCTCTCTCTCTCACTCACCTGGATCGACACCGTCGTCGCCGCCGCCGCCGCCGGCTCCGTCCCCCTCCCAACCTCCAGCCGTGCATCTCCACCATCAGGCGAGCGCTCTCCGTCCTCGCCATGCCTCCTATATCGCCAGATCTATGGCAAGATGGAGCAGGCCAGGCCGCCTCATCCCCATCGAGCTCGGTGGCAGCAAGATCTGCGCGCCGAGACAGTGACACGTCTGGGAGCTCGAAGGCAAGGCGTTGTAGCAGCGATTTATATGTGTTGGCAATAGATTTGTTTTGTTCCCCGTAGGAAGTGGGGTTGCTGTTAGATTTATCTGGTTTATTATTGTCACTGATTTGCTAATGAGTGATGAGTGCGGTTGCAGATCGAGGATTCCTCTTTGTATCGATTTTTTCTACCTTTGTTGTTTACCACTCCGTTTCCCAGATCTGACCGTAAGTGTACAAAGCTATATCTTTTCTTGAGCCCATGTGACTGAAACCGATATTCAGGCCAGCAGCCATGTCTAATCCATTCTCAAGCTTTCCAGATGGATGGTGTCTCCTGTATGATGAATTTATCTTATTTTATTTGCTCTCCATCATTTTTCAAGCAGTTGACTGATTTCAGGCAGTGTCCTCAGTTTTGCCCCAACACTAAGCAAAATGGATTGATCTTATTGTATAACTTTTTCATATAATCATTATATGAACTGCAATGAAAAAATTGGGGACCTTTCTGTTGGCTATCTTTAATTTTTGCCTAAAAGCTTTAATAAGGCAGTGTCCGAACTTTATCACAAGTTCAGTAGAACTTTTCTGTAACTCACCATAATTTGTAATAATTTCTGAAGAACTTTATGAAGGTTGTGTCTGAACTTTGCAACAAATATCAGAAGGACTTTTGAGAAATGGTTTTGACAATAAAGTTTTAGAGTTTTGACCCTCAAGTTCGAATAAGGAGTCAATAAAGTTCTTTGCATCATGAACGTCTGCAATATAAAGTTTTATAGTGTTGACGATAATGTTCAAAAAATGAGTTAGTAAAGTTTGGATTTTCCAGTAATTTTCATTTTTAATATTAGTTTTCTAGTAATTAAGTAAAGACAGTTCAGCCCATTTAGATAAACCCGTTTAATTAACCCAGACCCTGCTTCCAATGTCTGCATGTACGCCAAAGTGCTAGAAAGATTGAAATTTGAATCGTCCATATGCCATGACTGAGTAGTACTTCGACGGGTACAGTCTAGAAAGATTCTTTGTCCCACACCGGGTCATAGGTGTCTGAAGAAAGCAGGTGTACATATGAATACAGAGAATCTGTGTGGGGGCAGCAACTTGTTGATTTGACATGCATGCTGATGGGTGGACTAGATATGCGGCGCGCGCAACGAGTTAGACAAAATCCGCGTCCGACCAACAGCAGCAACTAGCACACGACCATGGCGACCAGTAGTAACTAGCTGATGCATGGCGTGTTCAGTGCAGGCGTGTAGCGATAAGGACGAAGAAGCGCAATCTTCTGGAGGTGAGTAGCAGCCACACATGCAGGTCGTCGAGCGCGCCGGCCGGTGGGGACGTGGTCGCAGCGGGAGGTTGCTGGTGGCCGTGCCCTGTTGCATCTTGCATGGCGCGAGCGAGCTTGGAGCCCGCGGCCTTCTCATGTCACCGGCGCGCGAGCCTGGCCAAGGATGGAGATGTGCAGCCGTCGGGGAGATGAGCAGCAACCGAGAGAGGATCTCGGCGAGCGCGCCGGCGTGCACGGACGGAGGCCCAGCGTGAGGTCGCTGATGGTCGTGGACTACTGCTTGGCGCGAGGGAGTTCGTAGCGTGCGGCCTCCTCCTGCGTCCCTAGCGCGCGAGCTCGAAGAGGATGTGGGACCTCAGCTACTAGGGACGACGACTCGCAGCCGCGTTGGGGAGATGGGAAGCAACCGCCTGAGGAGATCGGCGAGCGCATCGGCTGCCATGGACGGGGGCGGGGCAGGACCGCGGGAGGTCCCTGGTGGCTGTGCCCTGCTGCGTGGCAGGAGTGAGCTCGGACCTCGGAGCGCGGATCGATGCGGCGAAGCGGCGACTGATGCCGACGAACTGGAGTTGCCGAGGATGAGGCCACGCAAGCCGCATCATCCAGACGAGGCAGCGCACGACGCCACACCGTGGTCCATGGGGAATCATCGGAGGAGCTCTAAGGCGAGGACAACGAGACAGCGGCGAAGGAAAGGATGTGCCTGAAGGATGGATCTGCAGAAAGGAATCACAGGGGATCGGGATCAGGTGAAAAATAGTGGGTAGGGGAAGACGGATCTCGGCATCCATGCAAACGTGGCGGCGGGAGAAAGAGAGGAGAAGCGATAGATGAAGAAGATGCAGATGACATGTAGGTCCGGATTGTTAGTGAGAGAAACGAGTGATCCGACCAGGATTGTGCTTACAAACAGTTCTAGGGTTGGCATAGGGTTGAAAACGATCTGGGATTACAAAGAATAGGTACAGATTTTAGGGATTCGAAGATGAGGGTTCATTTGTGACCAACCCTACAACCTTAAGGTTTAAATCAGACTTTACTCTTTACTGAGTCGTGTGGCAGTTGAGACAACGATGCGCACTTGCTGGACGTGGTCAAGCCCTGTGTATATATACTGTGCACCGAGAAATGAAAAATGGGGCCGTGAGGGCTGAGGGAAAAGATGTAATGCATGTGCTCTCACCGGGAGATATAATAGCATCTCTGACAGACGCGTGCAGGAGCAGCACACTAAAAGTTTTTTACAATGGTGAAATAGCGCTTTTGCGCGTCGAACTAGTCAGTTGCTTTACCAAGAGCCCAAAATTTGTAGCGTGCTAGCGTGCCACTCTAGCAGGCGCGGTAAAATAGAGCGCGCGCCCAGCCGGCGCACAAAAAAATACATACAGAATGATCCCAAACATCCAAAATATGCAAATTTCACACAAACAAGATGATCTCAAACATCAATGAGAAATATAGCATAGTTCAAATTCATAACATAGTTCAAAAGATGCAAAGTTCGCACAAACAAGATGATCACATGCAAGTTTATGAACAAGTTTACATGAACGAACTAAACATCAACAATCATTCCCCATCTTCTTCCATCTCGTATGTCTTCTCTTCTTTGTCCGTTTCTTCTTCTGATTCTCCATCCTCTTGTTTGTCCTCTCCTTCATTGAAAACTCGAATGGTGTTTGCACTATCAACAAAGGCATCATGCGAAGGCATGTGGGGCCGCCATGGTTCGTTTGGAAGCGGAGCTCCGTGGCTTCACGACAGGCGACGGTGTGACGCCACCCCACGCGCTCGTCCAGGGCGACATGAAGAGCCCGCGCACGAGTCTGGCGTTCAGAGCAGCAGGGGCGGCGGCGGCGGCGGCGGAGGTATAGCCCGCGCTAGGGTTTGCGGCGGCGGTGACGATGGAGAGGTCGCACATTTATGGAGGGGTTAGGGGATGTCGGTTCGCCCATCCATGGCTGGAGGCGGCGCGGGGCGTGGCAAAAGCGGGCGGGCGCGGAGAGTTCATCGACGGTTGCTCGCTCGCGCGTGATTTCTTTCTATCGCGCGCGATAGCGGACACGTGAAAAAAGCAGCGCGCGAAGCAGTTCTGTTCGGCGCGCGGAGTGATTTTTAGCGCGCGCATGATTTTTGCGCATCTGCTGAAGCTGCTGATTCGGTCCCACATGTTAAAAAGCTGTTTTTTTCAGGCGTGCGGCTTATTTAGTGTCTCTGTTGGAGATGCTCTAAGAGCAACTCTATCAGACCTCGCAAAAAGCCCCGACCCACAAAATAACCACCAAAATATGGGTCGGCACAGAAAATCCCACCCGAACAGACCCCGCAAAGGCGGCCGGCCTGCAAAAAAATTTGAGGGGCGCGGTAAAATCTCGGCCCCAACCCGCAAAAACGCGGGTTTCCCCTCGCCGCTGCGGTGCCCTGCATATAAGCGGAAGCGGTTGGTGGGGGGGGGGGGACATTTCAGCCCGCGTTTTCTCCACGAACCACCTCCCCTCTCCCCCTTGCCCCGCCGCCGGGCCGCCGCCCAAGATTCCGGTGAAAGCAGCCGG